GGGCCGCTGCTCCGGCCCGCCGGTCACCGGCCAGGGCAGGCAGGCGATGCCGCTGCAGCCGGCCCGGCCCGCGGGCGCAGCTGGTCCCGGCGCCCGCCGGCGAGACCCTCTCGCTCACCTGGCCGGGCGCGGCGGCGGCTCTAGCAGCGGCTCTGGCGGCAGCTGGGCCCGCGCCGGCCCGGGCGGGGTTTTGTAGCGCCGGGCGAGCCCGGCCTCCCCGCCCCGGCGCCCCCCGGGCCGGCGCTGAGTCACCGGCCGCGCCTCCCTCCCGCCGGAGCGGGCAGGGCACGGGCTGGGGAGGGGCAGGAGAGGGGGAAGGGGGACGGAGGGGCAGGGGGACCCCGCGCCCGCCTGCCCTAGGGGCCCCCCGGAGCTGCCCGGGCCCAGGGAAGGAAGGCTCCAGGCTGCCCCGTGCTTGGCGTCACTGCAGCTGCACCGGGGGCTCCCCAAACGGGATCGGAGCTGCTGTGGTGCAGCCTGGGCTCTTGCTCAGGAAGCAGCATCTCCTTCCTGGCAGGACACGTCAGCCCAGCTTTCCCCTCTGAGCAGGGCACTCACTGCCACTGAGTCACCGAGTCAGCGCGCCCGGGCTGCACCTCCAGCACCCAGCTCCAGCTCTTCCCCTTCTGCATCGCCAGCGGCTCTGGCCAGGCCTGCTGCAGACCTACAATGTTGGAAAGAAAAGGGCTCTCAGGGTTTGGTGTGTGAATCCCAGTACTTCTCAGCTGCAACGAGTTTAAATCTCATGTCCTGCCAGCAATAAACTTGAGCAGAACAAGGTACGGCTGCTGCCTGAGGCTCTGCACAGACAAACCCTGGAATTTAATTATGCCCAGATAAACCTAACAGGCACACAGACTGCAGCTAGAGAAACAGTACCAAAAAAGCCTCTAGTCCCCTGAGCCCAAACACGACAGCACCACACCAGCCAGATCCAGTAAAGATGGCACAAGCAGCTAAGATGCTAGAGATCTTTGCTGGAATCTGGATGCTGTTTCAGTGCAGGGAAGTGGCCATTCGGGCAGTCATTTGGACAACACGTCATGGCAGAGTGCGGTGGCTCAAAGGATGCATTTGCCTCTGCTGTACGGGGGTTTTCTAGACTTAAAGGCGCTTTCTAGCAGATAGAGAGGCCAAGAAAGAAAGTTCTAAGCTTCACCAACGGCATAAAAACAAGGGTGGCAAAAGCATCCAGGCACCAAAGAGACAAGAAATTCACTTAGAGACAAAATAATTGTTGGGATAAAACAGCATCACAAAGAGATATTACACTGGACTTTGAACATCACATGGAAGCAAAAGAGAGTGTGGAGCGATAAACTGGTCACTGCAGCAAAACAAATGGATTTWAATATCCCTTTTCTGAATAAACCGAAATGAGATGAAAAGGAGGATAACCCTGGCAGAAGATGTCACAGCACAGCTTTTTTCAAACTGATAGAATATCACTGAATAGTCTTGCATCAATTAAACATGCTCGTTCTCTTTTTGGCAAGACTAATGCAGTTATTTCTCTCTATATTACTGAATTTGACTTTAAAAATTAATTCCTGGGTATCCCCATTACACCAGTGTCTGTCACTAGCTACTTAAACAGATAATTTCTCTCTGCTTTTCAGGTTTCCTAGAAAAAAATCACTGAAAACCTGAAGAGGTGATTACAGATGAAGAATACGTAAAGATGGAGAAGCAACAGCCATTCTGTGCTGCAATATTCATTAGGCAGTTTAAACAGGGCTAAGCATCTGAGAAGCCAGCCAGCCAGCCTGCCTACTAATGGATGCACAATCCCCCAGGGARGATTTCTCCCGCTCAGCTCTTTCCACACTTGCTCAAAGTAAAGCAATGGAAAAGCATCYTTAGAATACGCTGAGCTTAAAATGAAAGTTTTTGCATATGTAATGCATTACCAGGACACAGGATGTACGTCGCATCGTTGTGACGCACATATATACACACACACACACATAGAAACATGTATTAATGAGTTCATTCAGTCTCAGAGATGAGCACATTCACTCTTGCCACAAAAGGTCWATTTATCTTTTGATAACTTACTGCGGTCTGTTCCAACGACATCACTAAAACCAAATTTTTCTCTATTTATACTTAAAATATGAAATAGCATATCTCATATACCATATTTTTAGTTAACTAGACCTAAATATGAAAAGTTTGCAAAACTTTGATAGCAAATAAATTATTGCCATACGTGTGTATATATATATATATATATATAAACCACAGTATAAGAACATTTTTCCAGTGATTCCAACAACTCAGTAAGAGAATCAAGACATTGTCTCCAACACCCAAAAAACATCTATTATTCAATCTCAGAATCACACTTTCATCTCAGTGAAGGGGTATCCAGTCTTCAGCTTAACATAAAAACATATAGTCACAGAATCCTTAAGGTTGGAAAGGACCTCTAGAGATGATCTACTCCAACCCCATGCACACACAGGATCACCCAGAGCATGTAGCACAGGGCTGCGTTCAAGTAGGTTTGGAATTATCTCCAGAGAAAGAGACTCCACAGCCTCTCTTGGCAACATGTCCAGGGCTCTGTCACCCTTGTTGTCTAGAAATTTTTCCTTAAGTTCCTGTGGAACTTTTGGTGCTTCAGTRACCGTTTCCTCTAGGTTTATCCATGGCCACCACTGAAAAGAGGCTGCCCCCTCCTCCTCACTCCCTCCCTTGAGGTATTTATAGACACTGATCAGGTCCCCCCTCAGCCTTCTCTTCTCCAGGCTGAACAGGCCCAGCTCTCCCATCCTTTGCCCATAGGGCAGATGTTCCAGGCCCCTGATCATCCTTGTAGCCCTGCGCTGGACTCTCTCCAGCAGCTCCACATCCCTCTTGTCCTGGGGAACCCAAGACTGGACATCCCCTCCAGATGTGGCCTTACCAGAGCTGAGTAAATAGGGACGATCCCCTCCCTTGACCTGCTAGAGAGACATATAGAATGGTGTCTCTGAAGTTAAAACAGGGACTGTTGAAGTTATGTGAAAAAGAGAAAAAAAAAAAAAAAAAAAAAAAAAAGGGATCAACTGTTATTCACAGTCATGAAAACATTAAAAATATACTATATGATAAATTCCCTCAATTGGCCTCTGCTTATGTAGGCCAACTGACATCAAAGGTCCTCATACCAGTGGGGGAATCTGAATGGCACGAAAATACATTAATGCTCCTGGCAAAAGAAAACGACCACGTCCTAATACTAATGCCTCGTGATGGTGCCCATGGAAATACTACACATTCTTCATGTTGTTGGGGCGGGGGGAGGGGGGAAGAAAAAAAAAGGAACGCTCTGCAACACCCACAAGCTGAAGAAGGAAGGAGCCAGACTGTGCAAATAGGAAAGACTACTGCTATCTGCCAGAGAGGAAATTAATACAATAGGGGAACAGCTGCCAAGTGCCTGAATCACTTTTAAAAATGAGACATTTAGGGCACAGGGGTTATTTTTGAAGACATAACCAAAGCTTTGAGGGGTTGTACAGCACCAGCTGCACAGGGTTCTGGCCCACAACCACCACTCCTGAGTGCCACATCAGAGCAACTACCACTGCCAAAGGCTGGGACCCGCCCTGCASGTATCAGGAGCCCAGGGTGTTTCTGTGCCTGCCGCACCGATGAGTTACTGGGAGAAACATGCTGCAACTGRCTGGCTGGCAAGGCACTGCCCAGAAAGGTTTTCAGTTCGCTCTCACATTGCTCAGTCTCCCACAGCCTCTTAAAATCTCTGCATAGAAGGTCATATTTCAAATAACAACACGCAACTACTTCAGCTGCAATTATCTGTGATCTGCTTGCTGCGTGCTGACCACAGAGAGAGCACTTTTGTCAACTGGAGCTCCCCAGAGCCCTGAGGATGGGAAAACAGATGCAATTGTACCAACCTCTCATTCCTCCTTCCCGACAATTCATTGTAAACGCAGGTCACTGCACACTCTTCAGTGCAGGCCTGTACGTCCATTTACTCCATCCTCCCAGACCCCAGTGACATTATCATAGCTGACTCTCCCATTTTTTTGTTACTGCTTAATATTGGTTGATAATTTTTTGTTCTTATTTTCAATCTAATATGCCTACAATCTCTCATCTCACCAACCCTTTTAGTTTTTATTGTCATTATCACCTCATCATGTTATACTATGAGAGACCTCATGTGTTGAACTAGAGCATTAAATACAAGTTCTTCCTCTCCTTCAAGCTTTCTCGCTGTAATTACATTAATGGAAATGGGCTCATGCTGGCTCTCAAAAGGTCTTTACTCTCTCTCACTTTGGTCCCTGATTCCTTCATCTTGCTTATGCTCTTTCAGGAGGCTTACTGCAAAGAATCAAAGATAGTTCAACACTATAGTTCTGAAGGTCACACTTCTGTCATCATTTATTGTCTACATAAAACTTTTTTTTTTCCAAAGCCCCCTCTTCCTCAACAAAGGAAAAAAAAAAAAAAAAAAAAAAGAGAGAGTGAGAGACAAAGTGAGAAAGACAGAGAGAGATTAAGATCAATCAATTGATCAGGAGGACTTTCCAGTTTAGGTGTGGCTCGGCCTGTATGTACAATGTTGCTTCACTGAGTGCATTATGTTGCAGGAGGATAATTCCATTTTGCCTAACATACAATCTGACAGGCCTCTGGGTATTGTTTTTGCACCTTGATTATTTGGTCTAATTTGGAAACTCCAGTGATACAAAGCTCCTGCAGTAGCCCAGACTGAATGAAAGTCAGGCTAGATCTGCTGAGCAGTCAATCAGTGGATCAGAAGGCGGAGCCGAGTCCAAGACATCTGAGAGCAGACGTAGAACACTACAGACTTAGAAAGGCAAGCAAGAAATGTCTCYTAGAAGTTGAACAATATGTAGATTTGTTCCTAGCAATTAAAGTGATTACAGGTTGCAAAGAAAATAATACGTAGCTAACAAGGTTCCCAGAATAGTAACTTGGCAAGCTTATGTCTGTAACTAGTGCAAAAACATACTCCTGAAAGACAATGTTCATCATACTGCATTAGTATAAACTCTGAATATATCCAACGTGTTCAACTTGGTTTTTGTTTTTTTTTTTTTAAATAGAACATTTTTCAACAACATCTGTTACGAAAGACCTGCCGGTTCACAAATCTAATTCTGC